ATAAATATATGTATATATAAACATTATTTTTATTTATTCATTTAATTATTTTCACATACTTGTTTAGCAGCTTCAACTTCATAAATAATTGTATTAAAAGCTGCATCACCTTCTGCTTGTTTCTGTTGTATTAATGCAATTTTTTCTGCAAATTTTCGTGGACTACTCATTATAATTTTATGATTCAATCACAAATATTGAGTATACGAAAGAAAAAGAAGAATAAGAATATATATGTTCGAATTCGACAAAAGATAATATTGATCAAAACTAATAAAAAACAAAAATCTCTATAAGAATTTAAAAAAAAAACAAAAAAGAATGTATTTGCATTACCGTTTCAAATTACTTCTCAACGTGGTCGATCGTAATCGAAAATATTATTCACTGAAGCCAAATATTCAAATGACATTGCAATTTTCTATATCCAAAAGAAGAAAAAAAAAACAATATTTGAATAACAAGAAGAACTAGTGGCGAAAAAAAGGAAGTAAATTCTTCTCATCAAAAGAGATAAATGAACTTATGGAATATTCTTGAGAAAAAAACTGTATAGTATTTAAATGAAAATAATTATTAATTCACAATCAATAATCACATATAATGATTAAAAAAAAAACATTTCATATTTAATCATCTTTTCCATTTGTTGATGAGTTTTGCTTGTTGTTATTTAAGGCGTGCATATGTGTGTTTTTTTTTTGGGAAATATCAACCAATTAGAATTCGACAAAATAAATTATTAATAATAATTAAATTCTATGAAAAAAATTAATCAAAAATAAAAATTTTTTAATATTTTTATAAATATTTTCAAGTCATTGTGAAGTGTAATTTGTTTTTATTAATAATCGATTGGTGATTATTTTAACCAATAAAAATTCTAGATAACAGTGATTAAATTTTCTTTATTTTTCTTTTTGTTTCTCTCTCACGAGAATGATTGATATTCTCTGATGATTTCAATTCAATCTTTAAGAATTCTATAAAGACATTTACGCAAGTGGTTTGATTTTTTTTGTTTTCAAATAAAAATAATAACTATGATAAAACATCGTTTTGAAGTGACATCAGTTGATGAACTTAGTCGTGATAATATATCATTTCAACCATCGGAAATAATTCCATTAATTAATATTAAAAATGAAATTCCATTAACATCATTTTCATTAGTTCCTTCGATTATAACAATTAATGAAACATCTAAAATATCAACACGTTCAGATAATAATTTTTTACAACAATTAAAAAAAAGTTCATCAACAACAGATCTTAGTCAAGATATTAAATCAACATCTTTACCAATTATTCATACAAATAGTAGTACAAATACAAATATTAATAGTATAGTAGAAGATGCTAATACAACTTATTCTACAATACAATCTAATAGTTTTGATACAAATTCACCTCATTTAACAAATAAATTTCTTCAAGAATTACGTTTAAAATGTCGTGAATTACGTGATAAAACAAAAAATCTTTCAATTGAACAACGTATTGCTTTAAATCGTCATCAAAATAATCAAAATCGTCCACGTGCACAAGATATATTTGCTGTAAATTTTGAATTAAATTATAATGATGATTTACAAGATAATTTATTAAATGAAGATTTACAAGAGAAAATTCGAAATAATATTTTTAATGAATTAGATCGTCGACGAATGAAACAATATCAAAAACAATATCGTCAATTAGTATTTGGTCGAGCAATGCTAATAGTTTTTATATCATTATTAGCAATTATGAGTATAACATTAATTTATGTTGTTATTAATTTATATAGTCGAGCACAATATATAGACACAAAATTGCCAGATGATAAATTTTTACCGATGATTTATGATACAACACCGGATGAATAATACAAGAAAAAAAAAACGAAGAAATGAATTATATCATTCCATAATTAGATCTGATGAATTTATTAGTATTTTATTATTATTGTCATTATATTGTAGTCTATTATTATTCTGGTCTATTATTAATCTCATCTATTATTATACTAAGGATATAAGAAAAGTGAGGGCATGAGTACTATATTACCTTATTAAAAGGCCAAAAAAATGTTCTCTCTTTCTATAATAATAGTGCAAAACATTATTCTATAATTCTATAATATATTACCATTTTTCAGTTTATATATTAATATTAAAATTTCAATGTAAATTGTTTATCTCTGTTTTGAATGCATAAGGATAATGTTCGTTTTTGTCTGTAGATGAGAATAAACAGAAGGTAGTTATCTTCATCAGTACCCACAGCCATATCCACCCTCAATGTGAAGATGAATGTATAACTTGCATTGAAATTTTAATATTGTTATATCAATTAAAGAGTGGTGAAATATTGTAGAAATATAGAATATTGTTTTGAGCTATCAGCATATATACAAAGACAAAACTTTCATAACCTTCTTGATAAGGTATTATAATACTGGCATCACTATACTTTTGGTATATCCTAAGTATATTATGCACGCTTGACGCTCAATTTCATTAAATTTTTTTTATATATATTTTTTTAATTTGCTTGCTTGATATAGTTTTTTTTATATGAATTTCTTTACGTGACTGAATGTAATTTGATAATTTTTTTAGTTAAATTGTAAAATTTCCAATTTTTATTTGAATAAAATTATAGTATTTTATTTTGTAATTATTTTTGATTAGTTTAAATATTAAGTAGATTTTTATATAATACTTTTTTTTTCTTTTTAAGATGTCAAAGCCAGGTTTAACCACTCCACCAAGCGCTCGAGCGGCAAGTCCTCTCAATACAAGTACAGGTGGTAATGGCAATCAATTAGCTTCACTTAATAATACTCCACCACCATCTGGTGAAGATATGCAACCACCACAACAGCGAATGCTTCACCAACAATCATTACCACCTATGCATTTTGGTGGTCCACGAGGTCCTCCACCACCACATATGATGCATCCTGGTGGTCTTCCTCCACCACAACCAGGTCAATTTGTTGATGATTTTTATGGACAAGGACCGCCACCAATGATGCATCCGCATGCACATATGATGCATGGTCCACCACCTCCTCATCATCATCCACATATGGGTAATTTACTTGGTCCTGGACCACCACCACATGCACGTGGTATGATGCTTATGCATGGACCACCACCACCACAAATGATGCCACGTACATATCCACCACATACACATCATATTAATAATCCACAAAATCCAAATTCATCATCGATTGCTATATGTGGATCATGTCATAAAGAAGCGCAAGATACAGAAGGAACGGTGCTTTGTGAATCAGGTTGCAATTTTTTTTATCATCGTACATGTGTTGGATTAACAGAACATGCATTAAAAATGCTTCATCAGGAAAATTATGCAGAATGGGTATGCGATAAATGCTGTGCAGAAAAACATGTACCACCAGTTAAACTTAAATCTTAAATCTCTCTTACTTTTTTTTTTGTCTTCTTTTATGTACATATCTTGTTGTCTCATGTAGAATAATAAATGTCAATTCTATTTACATCATATCTTATTGTATTCATTGTTTACAGATGTTAACACATATTATAGAAAAGATTTAATGAATTTTATGAATCATTGAATACCTTCTTATATAAATCAATTTTTCTATGTCTATCAAGTGTGTTTCACTAGAATTCATTTTCTATTAGAATTGTTGTTATCATGATAAGAATTGAGAAAACTAATATTGAAATAAAATCAGTATTTTTTTTTGTTATGAAAGTGTTCCTGTTCTTAAAAAAAAATTATATAAATGTAAATATAAATTTCATTTATCATGAACACAATGTAGAAGTATATTCAATGCAATTGTTAATATAATTTTGTCAAATGTATTTTCTAGAGTCAAATGATATATATATATTTATTCATAATGATAATTTCATTTTGTTGTAGATACACATGTGAAGAAACATCAAATTATAATCGGACTGTTTCATTTATTTATTTAATAAGTATGAGATTAAGATTATATAAATCTAAATTTTAGCATCATCTAGCTATTTTATTCTTATTTTTTGGTATTAAAATCCTTCTATACGTATATCAATAGATAACAATTGATTTGAGTAAGTTTCTACTAAAAGAATGTAGTTAATATACAATAAATCATCATTATCTTTATTTGTAATTTTATCATTTCGTTTAATAAAATTTATATCGATATAATATATACATATATGTACAGAAAAAAAAATAATCTCTTTCATAAGTCATATTCGATAATTAGTTTGATCAACATTAAAAACTTCTAAAACATATCGATTTACTGTTTCAGTCGAATATGTGATACACGTCAAATTATTTTCTAATTGTCGTCGAAAATAATTTATACATTCAGGTAAAATAAGTTTTATACATGGATCATGAGTCATCATAGTAAAAAAATCCCAAGCATGTTTAAATGCAAGTATATATAATGATTCAATACCTGATGATAGAAAACGTATTCCTAATGATTCAAAACTGACTCTCATCATAGATGCACAAATTAAATATTTATATTGATCAGATGCTAAATAAAATGCAACAGCTGCTGTACCCCAAACATGTGCCATTTTATGTATAGGTGAAAATTGTTTTGATTGATTACCATTTTCTTCAAAAAGATTACCAATGTCATCTAACATTTTGAATACATCAATATTCAAAGTTTCTTGAAAAATTCTTGATCCGTAACCAAAAAGAAAAAGATTAAGTGCAACATATAGACTATTTGCATGTGTAAGACTATTGCGTGGAAAGCAGTGTGCATATGAAATTAACCATTCAGCACTAGGTATAGCTATATTTGAATTGAGAACAAATTGAAGAACAATTTGTCGCCATATATAACGACATTGTTCAGGGCTTGGATTATTTATATTTAATTGTGTAAGAAAATTCTCAGATGTTGAATCTAAAACAAAAATAATTTGATTAGTTAATTATCATAATAATAAAAGCATACTAAATATTCGAGGTTTTCGACTTTTAATAAGATTACATTTAAATTCTGATTGAAATTCTAGTTTCATTCCAATTTCGTCTAATTTTTTTTGTTTTCGATCTCTTTCTATTATATCAAAATAATTCATTATTGTATTTCTATCATCCAATTTTTGTGCTACTATTTCAGCTTGATTATATTGACAATAAGCTTGATCAATATCACCTACGGTTTGATAAACTTCAGCACAAATAAGTTGTAAATTAAATAATCTATGATGATCAATACGATCTGTTTGCATAAGAAACATTCGATTAAGTGATTGACATATATCAACAGGTGAACGTTTGTTTGTATGCATATACATCCACATTTGAAGATCACCATAGTTATGAAGTGTAGCATCATTTGGATATTTAGCAATAGCAATTGTTACACGTGATAAGACATTGAGTGGATTTGAATTTTCAAGAGTACTACAAAAAAAGAGAATTCACATATTAAATCAGTTTATAGTAATTTTATATTAAAATAAAATACTACTCTTCAGTTGTTCGTTGCTGGATGTTATTAGAAGCAGTAGGTGGTATAGATGTTGTTAAATCTTGCTCTAAAATGGAGCTAAATGGATGAGAAATAAAAATTTGATCTTGTGCCAAGATTGAATCAATGATATTGTTGTCATTCAATGAATCATCGTTTGTTTCTTCAGGTGAATAGAAACGTAAAAATAACATTACATTTATGTTTTTTTTATTATATTCTCTCACCTGTAATACCAATATGATTGACAGTATTCATATTCGACATAGCCATCAGTACTACAAATATTTATAATCAATTTAATGAATAATTTTAACCTAGATGAACTTGATATAACGAATTGTTTGTTCTTGCATAAAAACACAAAATTAGTTTTTAGAATTTATACGTTTGTATAACCATTATGTGTCACTAGACATGTAACGAGACTGATAATTAGGTGTTACAACTTTTTTTAAAAGAAAATTTTATTACAAAAACAAACGACTTATATAAAATGTTTGACCTTGTAGTGCAAAAAGATTTCCAAAAAACATCAAATATCAGCAGGATTTGTTCGATGTATGTTTCAACTTTAATTACAGTTTTACAAAGAGTTTTGATCATGACTAACAATCTCAGTTTAGAGCTTTTCGTAAAATTTCCATA